GTGTGTTCACTGCTGTGTGTGTGCACTTAGGATGGGATAAATGCAGAGCACTAATTCCGAGTATGGGTCACCATACTTGGCCACGTCACGTCACTTTCACACTTTCACACACACAAAGACACAGAGAGAGAGAGAAAGAGAGACACACAAACACATTAGCACCTCAATGGTTGAGTGTGTGTGTGTGTGTGTGCAACATTAGCATGTGTGTGTTGCTCCCTCTGCTGCTTGAGACACTCATTTACATTTGTACTAAAACTCATATTAAAGCCACCCTTTCTTATTATTAAATGTGGCAAATATCACCAGGATCATAATCAGTTCAGACTAAAGTGCCAGTAATATCACATCTCATACATTCATCATTAAAAACAGAGTCAATAACATAAACATTTTCAGCTTTATTTGTTGCAGATGTTGAATCAGGTTTCTGCAGGATTTTCAAGCTCAAATTTAAGACTTTGTAAGACCTTGTTAAAGACCTGCACAAATCAAATTAATACCATATGAGCGGGGTATGACAATGTCTATAGTAGCATATTAAACTGTAAAATGACTGTAAAAAGCATGATTTACAGTTAAGATACAAGTTTTCACAAAAACAAAAAGTTTTATAAAATGATACACTTCAATTCAGCCTTCAAGCCATTTTTAAGAAAACAGATGAGTATTAATTATTATATTTAAACAATTAGGCTTATTATCAATTAAATAACATATAAATAAATTTTACTGTTTAGATTTGTGTAATGCATTGTCTTATTATCGATCCACCAGTTCACATTTACAGCTCTGCGTGTTTGCAGAGTAAAAACACGGGTCGAGTATTGCATTGGTCTGAACAAAAACAGCAGGCGTATTGGAAATGCACATTTATTCTCTGCCAGCAGGAGGCGCTTTAGGAACGGCAGAAATATAGCTGTTTCCTGGGTAAAAGCACTGGACTTTAAAACCTGCAGCGCTCCTGTTTATTTAATGAAATCACAGCCTTTTGAAGTTTAATCATCACATTAAACCATATCGCAATTCTGGTCTTTCCATCCCCAAATTTAAAACATCTTGAAATCATAATTAAAACCTTCTTGTACAGTTTAAGACTTTTTATGGCCTTAAATTTGATGCAACTAAATATAGGACTTTTTAAGGACCTGCGGGAACCCATTCAATCACACGGTCGTTACCTTTGTCCTACAAACCTCCAATATCACACACATACATCCTTGAGGGAGCTATACAGCTATACAGCAAAAATAGCAAATAACCAAAGAGTCAGGTTCTCATTAAATTCAAGTTTCTTTTGTGAACTGATAGATTTATACTTATGACTGCTAAAAACTAAAAAGAATCCATTTATTCTTTAACATTGTTCTTAAGGTTGCATTAATGCTAATATAGATCTGTGCATAATTATTAGGCACGCTGATATTCTGATATATATATTTTTTCCAAGCACATTTGACCAATTCCAAACCACATCAATCTTAATAACTACTATTAATTTTGTATTTAATCATTTATAAGTGATATATAATTGTCCATGATGTATATTTTATTTCACTTCATTTTTATCTTCCTTTAGTTTAAGCTGAGGAACTAAAATAACTACAAATAAACTAAACTTTATTTAAAAAAACTTTATATACATAAACTACTAAAACTACTAACATGAAAAAATACTACAGTAATTTATAGTAAATATTATAGTGTCTTTGAAGCATACTATAGTAAAGTGTATTATACTGTATATATTATAGTATTTACAGCATACTGTAGTGTTAACTATAGTAAACTGATAAACTGTAATAAGTATTGTAGTATGCTTTAGTTTTTACTCCAGTAAACTGTAGTGTATTGTGCAACATCATCTATAGGACTGCCACAACAAATTAAAGTACTTTACTATAGTATGGTTCAAAAACACTACACTATTCACTATAAATGACTATAGTGTTTTTTTCATGTGGGATCTTAAAATTGTAATAAACTTATATTAAATACCCTATTTTGTTGAATTTCCATGAGTTGCATGTTTCAAAACAGCATATCAGTTTCTACAAAAAAAATAACCTGGAAAAAACATGCTGCTTTGTAACAAACTCGCCTGAGAAAATACAGCAGAAAACACTCACACAAATGACTTTACAAACATTTATTTCCTTAACACGAGAGAAAAACAATGAGTGATACTGCAGATTAAAACATCTCTTCTGCTCTACAGGGCAACAAACGAGAGAAACGAAAAACCAGAAGGAAATGAAACGTTTTGCTTCAGACGAACTGAAATCATCTCAAGAGGCACATCAACAGTCACATGACACTCGAATCTAATCAGAGGCGTAGAGGGGCGGAGCAATCCTGTGATTGGACGAACATGAGGCAGGCTTTATTCTGATTGGTCCGCAGGCTGCATTTCTGCCCTGACCCAGGGTCAGCTTTCATATAAAGTTCAAAGGTTTAGTATGTGGAAGTGATTCTTCAGATGGACACTAATGGGTGTTTTCCTGGCGATTACTCGGCCGCTGCGGCGTCAGCGTCTCCCGCGGCTCCTGCATCGACGCCGTGCTCAGCCGCCTCCTCCTCGCCCACCTCCACACCCTCCTCGCCCTCCTCCACACCCTCCTCCGCTGCTCCACCCGTCTCCATCTTCACCTCCTCTTCATGCTCCTCCCCATTTCCAACCGCTTCGGCTGCAGGCTCCGCCCCTTCCGCCAGAGGCCCCTCCTCTTCTTGTTTGATCTCATTCAGGCTTTCACTGGTGAGATCGGCCTCGGAAACCTCCATCACCATGGAGTCCTCGGGATCCTGGTCGTCCTGGTTACCGTTGAACGGGTCTTCACCCTGCGAAACGACAAACCGAACTCGTAAACGTACAAATAAAACAATATTTCTAAAGTTTATTAAGAGTACTGATTCATAACTCGCTCGTTATAAGATCCAAAATCAACACTCACCAAATGCTTGTACAAAAGTTGTAAATCAAGATTATTGGTGTACGTTTTACGAGAAAATACAATTCAAGATGCCAGGTTTAATTCAGTTGATTTTCCATTTCTTTATCATTATTTGTAAATTCGTTTTTTTTTTTCTTTGTATGACTGATAGCACTTTTTTGTATGATTATATAACCATTGTGTAGCACTGATATTTGTTTGTTTACTTGTAAATGTAGTGGGTTTTTTTCATCTTCATGCCATAACCACAAAAACAGTATTTTTTTGTATTTACGTTTTTTATAGCTGCATCAATAACAATATTAACAATAGCTGAAATAATTGGAGAAAGTCTAACGTTTTCAAATGGAGAACAAATGACACAAGGAGCCATTCAACTCTGCATTAAAGTAAACATTTGTTAAAATGAAGGTTTAGGTGTTTTTTGTTGTTGTTATTAGGCTAAGAAGTAGAGACAGCTAGTCCACTGCAATAATTGTACATTGTCTGGAAAGCCATAATCCAAACAAGGAAACAAAAATCTCGGTAAATCCGATTATTGGTCATTCTCTACTGAAAACCGGTTTAAAATCAAGGTTTAGGTGTTGATTATTTGACTAAATAGTAAAGCCAACTAGTTCACTGTAATTATATATTGTCTGGAGTAAAAAACAATATCCAATTAAGGAACCATATCAGAAAGAAATGTGAGCCTGCAGCACAAAAGCAGTGTTAAGTCGCTGGGGTATATTTGTAGCAATAGCCAACAATACATTGTATGGGTCAAAATTATAGATTTTTCTTTTATGCCAAAAATCATTAGGATATTAAGTAAAGATCATGTTCCATGAAGATATTTTGTAAATGTCCTACCGTAAACCATACATCAATGGAAAGCTCATTTATTCAGCTTTCGGATGATGCATAAATCTCTATTTCATAAAATTGACCCTTATGACTGGTTTTGTGCTCCAGGGTCACATATATGAGTAAAACTGATTATCGGTCGATCACTACAAAGCAATAATTTAGGTTTAGATGTTGTTAATTAGGCTAAATTGTCAAGACAAGACAAGCTTATTTTAATAAGTACACAAATGTCTGAAAAGTAACAAAAAAAATGGTAAAAAAAATAAAATACCAGAAGTGATTATCGGTTGGTCGAAACCAAACGCACATAAGAGTGACATTTTTAGTAAGACAATATCAAGGTAAAAACTACTATATTTACACAGACATATCAAATATACGCTCGAACTAACTCCAAGTCCATAAAATGCTGAAGTACAGCATGTGACACCGTGAGAGACAGACACACACCTTCAGGTAGCTCTCCAGCTTCTTGCCGATGACCTTGTGGTTGAGGATGCTGCGCGCCACGGACAGACTCGACCTCTTGGACTGCTCCATCATGCCCTGACACACACAGACAGAGGTCACGAGGTCACGCGAGCACTTCACCGGCAGCTCAAAGCCTCTGATTGATCTGAAGGGCGTTTGTACCTTGCGATTGTAGTTGTGGTCAGGGGACTTGAGGTGCTTCTGGATCAGCGTGTACTGCATGGGAATGAAGACGTCGCACGCCGAGCAGTGAGCCGCCTCCACCTTCTTCATGAAGTGCTCCATGCCGAGATCTACAGACAGGAAGTGACATCATGAGGAGCTCTGCAGCTGGAATAAACATGCCTCTGCTGTTTGAGGGAGACCGCGCACCTCGCGTCAGATCCTGCTCTTTGAACACCTGGCAGATGACGGTGCTGTGGTTGTCCATCTGACTCACTCGCTGCTCCGTCTTTGTGTACTTATTATTCAGATATTCCTACAAAACACAGAGACGCAAACAGGTGAGGGGCGGAAAAGGTGAGAACATTGCGCGGATCGGGGGCATGCTCCACGCAGGATTTATTTTAAAGATATTTGTTGTACATGCTCGTTTGTAGTTACTTTAAGGTATTTTTTAAAATGTGTTTTATTACCTTATATGTGACCCTGCAGCACAAAAGCAGTGTTAAGTCGCTGGGGTATATTTGTAGCAATAGCCAACAATACATTGTAAGGGTCAAAATTATAGATTTTTCTTTTATGCCAAAAATCATTAGGATATTAAGTAAAGATCATGTTCCATGAAGATATTTTGTAAATGTCCTACCGTAAATATATCAAAACTTAATGTTTGATTAGTAATATGCATTGCTAAAAACTTCATTTGGACAACTTTAAAGATGATTTTCTCAATATTTAGATTTTTTAGCACCCTCAGATTCCAGATTTTCAAATAGTTGTATCTCGACCAAATATTGTCCTATCCTAACAAACCATACATCAATGGAAAGATTATTTATTCAGCAAAAAACTGACCCTTATGACTGGTTTTGTGCTCCACGGTCACATATATGAAGTACTTATTTTCTAAAACATGTTTTACTCTAAACCTGCTAGAAAATCAAAGCCATAAATCTAACAACGTTGTGTTCCAAATTTGAGGTTGATATCACAAAAAAAATGAGAATTTTGTTTGGCCGCAGTACCGAATGTTTCCACTAGGGGAAATACGTTTGCTGTTTGCTTCCAATGTTTACAAATGATCATACAGTATATCTTTAGAAAGTGAACAGCACATAACAGGCACATACCAGTATAAACATAAACCATGCTATAAAAGATGAAGTGCTATGCAGGCTATTTAAGACAATATTGGCAATGACAATGCTGACCTAAAATGCAAAATGTTTGCCCTCTAGCTCTCCACCGTTCCCACATCTCAGACCTCAAGTACATAAAATATTACCCCTTTTTAGACAGTTTATGAAGTAAAGAGTAAAGAGAATACTATACAAACCTTACTAGCAGTTGCCAAGTGGTTATCAGTCTTACTTTTCCAATACAAATAAGACCAATCTACCATTTCATACCCGAATATAAAAATTATGAGCAGTCTGCAACTAAGACTAGTCTAAACAGTTTATGCAACAGGCCCCAGTTCTGTATTTACCCTCGTAGGACCCACCCCCCATCCCCATTATCACTGGATCCAAGCAAATCTCACAGGTGACCCATTCACACTGGACTCCAGGTATGAGTTGGCTTGAAGCGTCCGCACCTGCAGGAAGTCGGTGGTGGGCTTGGACAGCTGATTGGACAGGAACTTGAAGTGGTCCTTGTGGAACTTGCTCTCCAGATGGACGGCCATGTCCTCGCTGTAGAACGAGCGGAACTTGCAGATGGAGCAGGCGAACGTCATCCTGGGAAACACCGGAGAAAAACGCCCTCGTGAGCCACAAACACGCCCGGGAAGCAAGCACTCAGCACAGACGGCAAGGAACCTGACCTGTGCGCAGACACTTTGACCCCTGACCTTTCAAAGAAGCCTCTCCTCTTCCTGGCTTTGGCCGCGGAGGGCGGAGTCTTCTTCCCCTTGGCCTTGGCACTCTCGTCCTGATTGGATGGAGCTGGAGAGAGACAGGGTTTTCAGTGGATGTGGACCAGTTTAACTGCATATGTTAGTATGTTTCACGAATAAATAAGTTTAGGAAGTAAACATTGTAACCAATAAGAGGCCTGTCTGTGCAAACTGGGAACTGTATTTCCTCAGATAAAGACTAGATAACAAGCAGCATAGTTTAAATTCACGAAAAGCTGCACATCCAGTGACGGATAAACTTTCCTGTCCACATCCAATTTAACTGCTTCGATCCTTCAGACAGGCTTGTCAGCGGTATTATTCATTAGACATTCAAAGATTTGTTTAAATGCACAAGATTGGACACCAGCGCAAACAGTCTTTTGGTGTTAAAATAGTACTGTCAGGATTTACTAAAGATGCGCAGTGAAGAATTAGCGCTGAAAAGGTGTGGACAGTTGTTTTTATGTTTTACATTGAGCTGTTGCAGAAGAAAAGCCCAGAACTCACCAGCACCTTCCCCTCCATCTTCTGTTTTGGACTCCTGGAGAGCAGAGAGAAATAGGATCGGTATTTCTAGATAATTCGCCACGTTTTCACAACACAGATGACAAATGAACGTACCACAGCAGTAGCAGCGGTCGCTTCCTCGGACTCCTGCGTCTGTTCTCCCGCCGCAGCGTCTGAAACACAACCACACTGGTCAGCAATCACAGAGAGGAGGCCGCGGATCAGCGCTTATCGTGGAAAACACGTGTGCTATCGTACCACTGGCTGATGCTTCTCCCGTGGCTTCGGTTTTGCCCATCTTGGACTCGGGCTCGTCGGTCGCGCTCAGAGTCTGTTTCCTCTTCTTCTGCCCGTCGCGCTGAGCTTTCACTTGCTGCCATGACAACACACATGCAAATGAGATCTGAGGGCGTGTCCGTTTGTGTAGTCGTGAGGGTCAGAGTCAATGATGGGAGGATTTACAGTGTTAGCTGAGCTATCCTGACTGTGTGACACTTTACACAGCTACCCCTCTTGGTGTTTGTCAGTGTCTAACTGCTCAAATGGGGGTCAGACTGGGGTAGCCTCTCCTTGAGGGGTGGTGGAATGAATGCGCCTGACTGGACCCTATGTGCAGGGGTGAGCGCTGATCTCTCAGCCCCGCCCCCTGCAGGGAGCGGGCGGTACTTACTCGGTTCTGGGGTCTCTTGCGGCCGTGCTGCCGGTTGGCCCTCGGGCCCCCTCCGAAGTTCCGCGCAGGGAAGTCCTGGGGCCCGCGCTGAGACTGGAAGGCCCCGCTGTCGGGGTACATGCGATTGGCCAGGAGCGAGGGCAGCTTTCCTCGCCCCGCGGGGGAGTGGCCTTGGTGGCCGCCACCCCGCCCACTTCCTCCCCCCATGCCAGCGGTGGAGGAGGAATCCTGCCTGCGGCCGAAGCCACGCCCCCCGGCCGATCGGTTCCTGCGCGGGGATCTCTGCCCCGCCCCCCAGCCGGAGCCCGAGAAGGCGGAGTCTCGAGTCGGCCGCATTTTTGCAGATCCGAAGGCGGAGCCATCAAAGCCGCCCCCGCCCCCTCCGGCTCCGCCCATGACCCCAAAGCCCACGCCTCCGCGCTGGGCCATCATGTCGCCCCGGGAGTCGCTGAAACCAAAGCTACCGGATCTGTAGAGATCTCGGGGGCCGAGGGAGGTGGAGCGCGAGTCGAAAGACTCGTATTGGGCAAACCTGCAGAGGGAGGGAGGCGCAGAGCAAAGGTCAAGCCGGCACTTCGGTCGTCGTCGACTCAGATGATAAAACAAACTCATCATTCAGCGCTCATTCGTTCAAGCCCTTCCACAGCCCCGTTGCTCAGGTGCATTGTGGGAAGAGACAGGCTGTGGAAAAGCTTCAGAATGACAGTTGCACAGATGGACATATAAGGCAACAACACTGCACATATTTCACAGGACTGAGGTGGAAACAGTGAGATACGGGGCCCTTCTGGGGTCTGTGAGGGCAGCGTTAGCATTATCTGTGAGCGTAGAGTCAGATCTGATGGGGCCGCCGTCTGAGGATCAGGACCAAACTGAGTGTGTGAGCGTGTTTGTGTGTGTTCAAATGGTCAGGAAGCATTCACTGAATCTACGTACTAACACAAAAACCACTGCTTTAGTTGTTCCAGCTACAAGAACAAAGCATAACCCTCGAAAGCAAATAACTGCAACTTAGTCCCGGTAGAAACCATATTTAACTTCACAAATGGAAGCAAGGCTGTGAGTGAAACGCGTATATATCCGAGGCTGAATTTGATTAAAAACACAGTAAAAACGGTAATATTATGAAACATTATTAGTATGTAAAACAGCTGTTTTCTATGTGAATATATATATTAAAATGTAATTTATTTCTGTGATCAAAGCTGTATTTTCAGCATCATTACTCCAGTCTTCAGTGTCACATGATCTTTAGAAATCAGTATAATATGCTGATTTATTATCGATCAATTTAATGCATCCTTGATGAATAAAAGTATTAATTTATTTTGAAACTTTAAGTAGTCTGATGCAACATTCAAAATGTCTTTTCAAAACTATTTCAGGTGACAAATGTGACTGTACAAACCCTACAAACAGACTGACTGTCTATCCATCACAGCCTTGTTTTCATACAGCAAAAAATGCAAACCGGCGTCTACCCTGATCACAGTCTATAAGACGACATCTTAAGTGTACTTGTGCTGCAGGAACAAACTAAGCAGATCTTAGGCGGTCTTAAAACCATAAACTTAAAGCAGTTACTGCTACGAATGAGCTGGTGAAAAGATCTGAACGTCTGAAGAGAGAGACAACATTAGCAGACCGACATAATCACAAAATACACTTTAAGACGAGCTTGACTGACGAATCTTGTCAAACTTTCCAGTCATAATGTCTTTATCCTCAATTAGCAAGCAAACTAGTGCTAGATGTGACACAAAATAGCAGACGAATCATTTTTATCAGGACTCTTTTAAAGGCTGGATGTGTATATAATACATATTTAAATACTAGGGATGTAACGATTCACTCAACTCACGATGCCCTACGATTCACGATACTGATTTCACGATACAAATTTATTTTTTATTCTTATTTATTTGTTATTTATTTGACAAAAAGCTAAGGCTTTGCATGTGCTCTTTCCATTCAGTTAGATGCAACCACTTTTAATCATGATCCAAACAAAGATGCTGCGTACATGCTGTTTTTAATCTAAATTTTAAAACAGTTTTTAATCTAAATTACATTAAAGATTGGTCTTTGTGAAATTATGCTGCATAAATTATCTGAACGAGACAGAAACAGCAGACGGGCTGAATGAGACGCAGATTCACTCTCTGACAGCAGGAGGCGCTCACGGAACAGCAGCGATACAGCGTTTCCTTGGTTACCGCTGTAAACACAGCAGGAGGCGCTCATGGAACAGCAGCGATACAGCGTTTCCTTGGTTACCGCCGTAAACACAGCAGGAGGCGCTCATGGAACAGCAGCGATACAGCGTTTCCTTGGTTACCGCCGTAAACACAGCAGGAGGCGCTCATGGAACAGCAGCGATACAGCGTTTCCTTGGTTACCGCCGTAAACACAGCAGGAGGCGCTCATGGAACAGCAGCGATACAGCGTTTCCTTGGTTACCGCCGTAAACACAGCAGGAGGCGCTCATGGAACAGCAGCGATACAGCGTTTCCTTGGTTACCGCCGTAAACACAGCAGGAGGCGCTCATGGAACAGCAGCGATACAGCGTTTCCTTGGTTACCGCCGTAAACACAGCAGGAGGCGCTCATGGAACAGCAGCGATACAGCGTTTCCTTGGTTACCGCTGAAAAACTAATTTGTGGCACCCTACAAAATTAATTGTCACAATACTTGAATTTCTAACTTCGATATGATACTTTGAAAAGTATAGATATTCTGAAAAGCAGGGAAGAACTGCAGAATATACTCTCAAACAGATATTTTTAATATTATTAAATTTTTTGTCCATCAATGGTGGCAATCAGTAGGCTAATTTCTAATGAAGAGACCAATTTATATGACAGATTTTAATGTAGGCTTTTATTCATATGTAAACATTGTTTAATAACCATTATAACTAGCTATCTCACACATTTTTGCTCACTCAGTGTATTTCTTATTTTACAGTGGGGTAATTGTGTTGCAGTAGCATGAGATAGCTTGATTTCAAACTTTGAATTGAATAAAAAATGACAAGTAAGCAGTCAGTAATAAAATAAGAACAAATAAAGAAATTACTAATGACAGCACAAATAAAAAATAACGATACGCCTACAAATGAAATAAATAGCTTTTTAGTTTTTCAGGTAGGCCTAGGTCTAACAGTAGGGCTATTAAGATATTTAGTGTTTGTTTGTTTTTTTGTCTTTTTACCAATTATCCAAATAATGTTTAGTCCTAGAAAGCTATTATTATCAGAACACGTGAGCATAACATAGCGGTTAGCAGATCAATGAATGAGAGGGCAGCGATACCAGAGTTGCCCATATACCACACCATGTTACAACATTTCGGTGCATCTCTAATTATTGGCGACATCAAAAATGGATATTATACAATATGGCTTTTTTGAACATTTTAGCGATTTAAAAATCTTAAATAATTTTTTTTTTTTTTTACCCGTCACTGATATTTGACCCTGGACCAAAAAAACAGTCTTAAGTGTAAATTTTTCGAAATGAGAATAGTTCTGAATAAATAAGCTTCCATTGATGTATGGTTTGTTAGGATGGGACAATATTTGGCTGAACATATTTGTATCGATTTTCAACCCGGCTCGCCGTGCATCATTACATCCCTAATAAACACACATGTACATCGTCAAAAACCAGCAAGTTGAGAAATACGAGGGAGTAAAAGGATAAACAATATTTCCTTCTGCCATATTTTCCGTTTCCTCCAAAAGAAATGAGTGCAAAAAAAGATGCATAACATCCAATTTAACGCCATAGATATACAGTGGGTACGGAAAGTATTCTGGGGTGCTGTGTGTACATTAATGAGGAAAAAAAATTAACTTAAATGATTTTAGCAAATGGCTGCAATATAACAAAGAGTGAAAAATTTAAGGGGGTCTGAATACTTTCCGTACCCACTGTACATTGAAACCAATTTCTGTCTTTTATGTCTACTATCTGGTGTTTTAATGTATAGTATATAGTAGCTATGCATCAGACGGGCTGATGAGGGCAGCTGCGCACGCGAGTGTGTTGAGCGGACGATGCGTCTGGTTTCAGGTGTGTGTGCTGCGTCACCTGTCTCCGCGAGCGCCGCTCTTCATGCCTCCCTCCAGCTGCGTCAGCATGTCCAGCCGCTGGTTGATCTTGGCGATGACATCGTCTGCGTTGGAGCCGCTGGAGGACAGCAGAGATCCCCCAGAGAGTCCTCTCTTCATCCGATCGCTGGATCCGTACCCGCCTCCTCCGAACCCTCCGCTGCTGGACATGGAGTCCTTATACCCGTACAGGTCATAACCGCCCGAGCCTGAGCCGTAACAGAGCAGCTGATTATCTGCTGGACGAACATGTGAACGATGACAGAGCTGAACACGGCCACAGACTCACCTCTGGACGATCCTCCTCCACCCGATCCTCCCCAGCCAGAGAACCCTGAAACCAGTCGAGAACACGTCAGAGAGAGACATTACAGCTCCGTTCTGGACCTCAGATTTGATCCGGGAGTATCTAAGTCTCTAGATGACCAAAAACTGTCACACTTAATCTCCTCAATGTCGTCTGATTGATAGTTTAGAGTTTTTATCCAGTCGAAGCTCTTGTAGAAACGCTTCTCGTGTCAGATCTAGACTGTTTTTGATCAAGTAAAGGTCAGAATAACTGCAGTAATATTAACTGTCCAGTAATAACAACCATGAAGACTTATTACTGGCTGCTCAGAGTCAGGTGACATTAGAGGGCGGGGCTTTGACACTCAAAAGGACATCTGATTGGACAGAAATGTACCTGAGCCTACAGACATGGCGTCAAAAATAATTAAGATTTGTTTTACGGTAAGAGAAAATGCATAGATTTAACCTTATGCCAGTACTAGACATGAACTAAAAATAGCACGGGGTATTACAGATGTCAGTACACTTAATTAACTATAAACTCTGTGTATTGACACTAAACTCAAAGTAAACAGCTGTACTGTAATGTGTTTACAGGTCAGTCACTCGAGGCGATTAATCGAACAATAGAGCAGCAGAATGGAGACGGCAGCCATTTTACAACACGACTCCATTTTATCCCATCATTAAGTGACCGTGTAATGAAAAAGTGTCAAGAAACGAAGGCGACTCTTCCCTTTTGACTCACTGACGCGATTTTAGACGCCGAATGATCGCAGCGCGTCGCGTGATTCATTCACACGCGCCTAATGGAGAGTAAAGATTATTAGTTTGATATGCTGCTGATTAAAGACCAATGTGCGACTACGTTAATGGTTTGCGTTGCTCGATGTGCGCGCTTCAATAAGACAATAACAATGCGTTTCACATCGAGTTCGACAGCAATCGATGAAAGCACGCTTTAAAATAAAAATACTTATACTAAAGGAGCCTAACTAACTCTGTTTTAATGGTTTAAGAAGTCTGCGCCTTATTTTGACCTGCGCCATTTTAAGCACTTAACCAACACAGACCGAATCACAGTAACGTTAAGTTACAGGGCTTAAATACAGAACAACACACGCTCCCAGCAAACAAACAGACTCTTACATAAAATAAATACCGAGTAAAACACTCACCTGAAGAATATCCTCGATCCATCCTGCAGCAGTTTTCAGTGTAGCGCTGTGATTGTGTGCGAGACTCTCACTCAGGCCGCACTGACTCCGCCCACAAAGGGGTGTGGTTAAATGACTGACGCTTGAGCGAGCCAATGAGCTGCTCGACGGCCGGAAGAACGCTATTTCCGTAAACTATTTCAAAACAAAAGTGCGTCTGTGGTTTTGTTTATGATCCTGAAATAAGGCATTTATGTAGATATAGAAAAGTAAAACCAAAAAATATACATTCATATAAACCAGTTTAGGTCTACATGAGGAATTTTACAGAAAATGGCTCTAGTTAAAACGCAACTTCCTTTGTGTAAGTCTGCAAATACATTCAGTCAAGATCTGATCATTTTTATTAAAATTCCACAAAAAGACAGATTTTAACGAAGCAAGTACAAAAGAGTAGTGGAAAAACACATTGTATTTTGGTCCCCAAGAATAGTTTTCATACGATAAATAAAGAATATTAGTGTAACCACACTTTTTAAATACCAAGCTGCAGCTCAAAATCCCTAAAACATATACATAAAATATTGTGGCCTTATAAAATGACATGTACATATCTCTGTGGAGAAGGCACTTTGTCAAGCCCTTTAATTCGCCTGTTAGTGTTTCGTAGAAACACGCGAAGCTGTAACATGCAGAAACACACGCACGTAATGTGTTTGGATGCAGAAAATCCTTCACGTTCAACCAACCCGGTGAAGAAAAGAGAGAATGAGACCAACCAGAACCAGCCCTGCAAAACCAGTAGTGTGAGTTTTGGTCATCCTAAACCAGAAATAAGTGTGTGATTTCATGGACCAGAGCCTGAGAGCTAATCTAACGGAATGGGATTCTGATCCGACGAGAAGACGTGAGGAATGATTTCAGCCGCTCACTGACGGACAGATTCTCTTCGCTGCCAGTTCCTCCACCGCAAACGTGTAGTTATACTGCAGAGAAACAATCTGTCAGTGAAATCTGCTGAACTACACAGACAAACGATCAACACGAACAAAGGCAGATTCAAAATAAAAGTCCTCCAGAATGATGAGAAAAAATCTGATGTCTCTACATCGTCTCAAAATGATGTCTTACAATCTTAAAATGATAATGATTTATTATAATGGTACTTGCAAAAGCAATAAAGCTTGGTGCAGATGCAGATCGCCTCACCTCGTTCTCAATGTCCTGCACTGATTTGATACGGATGTCACTCAGCGTGCTCACAGACACCTGACAGACACAACAACACGTCTGTTATGGGTCACTGTGATTGTGATTGGTTAATGACAGCATCCTGTGGTCAAAGACTTTTGTACAATAATCATTTTTTAAGATCTCTCGAACAGAACTCTCTCATCTTACCCTAAAATCTTCACTCTAGTCACAGCACATTGAGGCGTAATATTGAGGCGTAATGACCAGATAAATGCATGTGATTTCTTACATATATCCACATGTTAATGAGTGATGCAGTGGCCTCTGACCTTTGAGTTTGACTGAGACTCAAACTTCGGGTGTAGAGAGAAAGGAACTCCATCCATCGCTGAGGACAAACATAAACAAGAGTGAGGCACGTGACAAATTCACATGTGAAGATTGTTAAATGCATGATGCATATGATGACATATTTATATAGGACACAGATTGCGTGTGCTCCTGTTATATGAAGGGATGATGTGATTGGTTTGTCTGTTGCTGTACCTGTGACACCGTGGATGCTGCTGTGGTTACCGCTGTCATACACAGCCTCCATCGGGTTGTGTGTGTCCAGCTTACTGCGCCGACGGCTGACTTTCGGTGGGGCTTCAGGGGGGTTGCTATGGAAACAGACAGTCAGAACACCCTAGCAATAACCCTGAACACCCAAGCAACCACATAGTAATACCCTAGCAACCACTCTTAACACCTACACTCTAGGGTTTTGTGTTCAGTCAGCACTAGGCTACATCACTGTAGTTTAAAGCCAACACAGAATCACTAAAGATGATTTAAAGCTGTGAATACAGTGATGGAGAGCTACATAATGTGACACTGGTCGAACACTTTGCTCTGAATAGATAGTTCTACCTTGTGTGGATACTGCAGAGACAAATAGCTCATTTGATTCAGTCTAATTTACCAGTCAAATCATCCAAACACTGGAGTCTGTTTGTGACATGCGAGAATCTCGTGTCATTGTGAATCCCATGATGCTGATGTTCTCCGCAGTGACAGCTGTGAAAGTACTCCACCTGGGCTTGAGAGGCTGCGGGGGACCGGTTCCTTCCAGCGAGAGACTGCGCATGTCCAGACTGACACTGCGCGGCTTGGCCTGAGGAGTTGGAGATGAGAACTGGCCTTTTAAACACCACACCACGAAGCCATTCATGTCCCTGAAACACAAACACACACAATAAACAACAAGAACAGCAGCCCAGAGCATCTGATTCCAGAACCAGTGAACAGAGTGTCTTATTCCAGAACCAATGTAGCGTGTCTGATTCTAGAACCAGTGTACAGAATGTCTAATTCCAGAACCAGTGAACAGAGTGTCTGATTCCAGAACCAATGTACAAAGTGTCTGATTCCAGAACCAATGTACAGAGTGTATTATTCCAGAACCAGTGTAGAGTGTGTAATTCTAGAACCAGTGAACAGAGTGTCTGATTCCAGAACCAGTGAACAGAGTGTCTGATTCCAGAACCAATGTACGGAGTGTCTGATTCCAGAACCAATGTACGGAGTGTCTGATTCCAGAACCAATGTACGGAGTGTCTGATTCCAGAACCAATGTACAGAGTGTCTGATTCTAGAGCCAGTGACCAGAGTGTCTGATTCCAGAACCAATGTACAGAGTGTCTGATTCTAGAACCAGTGACCAGAGTGTCTGATTCCAGAACCAATGTACAGAGTGTCTGATTCCAGAACCAATGTACAAAGTGTATTATTCCAGAACCAATGTACAAAGTGTATTATTCCAGAACCAATGTACAAAGTGTATTATTCCAGAACCAATGTACAAAGTGTATTATTCCAGAACCAATGTACAAAGTGTATTATTCCAGAACCAATGTACAAAGTGTATTATTCCAGAACCAATGTACAAAGTGTATTATTCCAGAACCAATGTACAAAGTGTATTATTCCAGAACCAATGTACAAAGTGTATTATTCCAGAACCAATGTACAAAGTGTATTATTCCAGAACCAGTGTAGAGTGTCTAATTCTAGAACCAGTGAACAGAGTGTCTGATTCCAGAACCAATGTACAGAGTGTCTGATTCCAGAACCAGTGTAGAGTGTGTAATTCTAGAACCAGTGAACAGAGTGTCTGATTCCAGAACCAATGTACAGAGTGT